TAAAGTAGTTCAGTTCAGATAAAGTAGTTCAGTTCAGGGAAAGTAGTTCAGTTCAGTTCACATCTTGTAAAGTAGTTCAGTTCAGGTAAAGTAGTTCAGTTCAAGGAAAGTAGTTCAGTTCAGATAAAGTAGTTCAGTTCAGATAAAGTAGTTCAGTTCAGTTCACATCTTGTAAAGTAGTTCAGTTCAAGTAAAATAGTTCAGTTCAGGGAAAGTAGTTCAGTTCAGTTCAGGGAAAGTAGTTCAGTTCAGTTCACATCTTGTAAAGTAGTTCAGTTCAGGTAAAGTGCTTCGGTTCTGGTCCATGACGGCCTTCAGAACCATCTGGGTTCTGACTCAGTCTTGCTTCTGCTACTAAAAATATCTATTCTGTAATTCATTATTGCTGATTAGTCAAATTAGACAAACGGATTTAATTCCTGATTCCCAGAAAGCGAAGCTCGGTTTTACGCATGCGCTCCAGCTCACCTCCAGGTTCTCCAGCCGCTCCTTGAGCCCCTGCATGGTTTTTCCGAGGCTGTCGATGGAGTCGTTGGGGTCCGTGGGAACGTCCCCCATCGTGTTCTGCTTGTCCTTCCCCCACGCGCCCCCCTTGCCGGACTTCCGGTCGCTGGCGGCCGAGGCGCAGAGGGACAGCTTGGTGGTCAGCTCGTTGATGGTGCCCAGCTGCTTGGAGATCGTGTCCTTCTGCTGGACGATGGTCTCCCGAAGCTGCATGACGGTGTTCCGCAGCTCCTCCTCCTGGCTGCCGGCACTCAGGTCCGGCAGTAAAGTCACCGGGCAGCCGGCGTCGCCGCTGATGGCCACTGCGCGGCAGATGTACCGCTTCCCATCATCCGGCTGAGCGCAGATTAGCGCGCAAAAGCTGAGAAATCCGCACCAGAGAGACAACATTCTGGTTCCCATGAACAGAACTGTCCTGCAGGAACAGAACTCCGAACCCTGACCCAACAAACTCCGGAGCTTGTCTGCGTAAAAGCCGGTCCGCGGGGGTTCTTCCGGCGGCTCCTCAGAGCAGAGCTGTGGAGCAGCGGCCGGGAATCCGATCAAGTGTCAGGCTGCCGCTGAGAACCAGCTGGTGCTATTTCTGGCGCAGAGAGCGCGCACAGCGTGGCGCTGGATACACAGCTCTGAGCGCCAAAGCGGATTACCTACAAGGTGTCTGTGAAAACGCGCTGATTGGGCAGAGGCGGCCGACGTCACGGGCCAGATAAAACCACAGTTTAGTGTTCATTAGTGAAGACGCGACAGGTGATCCACTTCCTGTCCAGAGAGTCAGGTTACCATGACAACGCGGAGAGAAAAACCATAAAACTCGGAGAAAAAGCCTGAAAATCCACATACTGACAACAGGGGCAGCCCCCGAGTCACAACTGCCCTGGGCAGAGCCCCCGCATGGGGCCCACAAAAAACACAATCAGACCAAAAGATGGTGCTGTACGTGACTGCAGGCCCACAATGTAGAATATTACAAAACTTTAACGCAAAGTGATTCATTTCACAGCCTGCTGCTATCTAGACAATATTAGTTATGATGATTCCTGCTTGACGAAAACATGAAAATACAGGTGTGCTGTGGTGGCGCAGCGGTTCAGCACAACCCACATATGGAGGCCTCAGTCTTGGCCGTCGCAGGTTTGATTCCCGGCCTGGTGACCTTTCCTCCATGTCTTCCTCTTCTCTCATTTCCCACTTTCCTGTCAATTAACTATCAAATAAAGTCCACTAGAGCCAATAAAACATGAACACATGAAAACATGAACACATGAAAGCATTACGTCCGACCAAAATCATTCAAAACAGAATTACTGTTTGAATGAGAAGTGTGTTTCATACCAGCTGTAAGGTCCAAAAGCTTCTTTAAATCTGACAAATGAGCCCAACAGAACCTCAGCCCCTGTTGGGTGCCGCCCTGGGCAGAGAGCCTGCTGCTGTTACAGAATGCTACTAGCAGTACAAACACACAAAAACCTGCTTAACGTCAGAACCAGAACCAGAACCGGTCTCCTATCAGGAGCCACATGTTGAATGGAGGCAGCAGTGAAGAACTACCTTGTGGTTCTGATCCTTTGGGCCCGGTTCGCTGTGAGCAGACGGAGAAGCAGCAGCTCCACC